AAGGTCATGGCCTACAAAATTTACATGTTGTGGAATAATCTAGTGTAGCAAAATAAATAGTAAAATATTGATACACTTATCAAGCAAAAAATGCTTAGTTTTGGACCATAGGAGTTGTTTGACCTTGTTTTCGCATCTTGGTCATATATTGGCAGAAAGACTTAGAGGAACGCATCTTGCCCTGAGTCCATTGTATGCATAATCATTTCCAGTCAGATCGTGGACGTATTACATTACCAGACGTTTCGCCAGCATCGTCAGTGAGTTTTACCATTCGTAGAACCATATTACAACTCGTCAAAGAGAAGAGTGAAGCCGATGCTTTGATCGAACGTGTCCTAAACAGTTATGGTATCTTCCATTCTGCCCTGGCCTATTCGCAATTCCTATATCCTCTTATCACGCCTTCACCGTCACAATGTTTTAATTGCTTAATTAAATGTGGTACGGTGTGCCCCTTTTTTAGCGGCTTTCATGAGAACCCTCCGCAATCCACGCTGGCCTTCACCCCCCTTCATTCTTGTGCTGGGAATGTTGATCAGTCTGCCATATTGTTAAGCCGTCCTCCTTCCCTAGGTCTTACCACAGTCTCTCTCTTGCCCCGTAAGATCCGTCCGATCTCTCTCTGGTTCACTCGACCCCTGCCACCCCATCTATGCCACCCGAGGCGTTATTAGCCCTACTCTGCGTCTCGGTGACTAATTCGAGGCTCAAGCCTCTGAGTAAGTGTCATGGTCACGACTTTGCCACATGGGCCACGTCTCTTATAAAAACTACTGTCAGCCCACTAGCTCCCATCTCCGCCGCGTCTATCCTCTTTCTATCTCTAATACCAAGTCTATGATTTCTCATGCCCTAGTCTCTTGTGTACCAACCCACAAATGTTGTGGTACTGCTTGCTTTGGTTAGGTGCAATGTTTAATGATCAGAAGCAACAATAGCTTAGTGAAACTTAATAAAAGGAGTCTCAACACCACATTAAACCCGTCAGAGACAAATGAAGGCTATCCTTTGACCAGTTGTCTGCTAGCAATAGTGTTGTCTCTACTTCCGTAATTTTCTATTTTCTTATTTAAATGTGGTATGGTATGCCCTTTCGAGTGAATGTCATGGGAAGTCACAACACTCCACTCTGGCTTTCTCTCCCTTGTGCTGGGAGTGTTGATCAAAGTTTGCCCTATTGTTACGTAGTCCTCCTTCCATAAGTCTTATCAGAGACTCCCTCTTGCCCCGTAGCATCCGTCTGTTATCTCCCTGGTTTAAGTATTACATTCAACCCCTGCCATCCCATCCGTGCTACTCGAGGCGAGTAAAGAGATTCCCATGAAATCCGCTCAAAAGGGCACACCATACCACATTTAAATAAGCAAGTAAAAAATTGTGATAGTAAAGGGGTGATACGAGGAGATAGGATTGGTGATTAGCCCAGGGCGGAAGGAGAGATACCACGATTGTTTATCAGATAATTGGTCTAGGGATCAACTTCACTTGTCTCTTTGACGAGTTTGAGTGTGAAGCTAAGACTGGCAATGCTTCCCATTAATCCGATATTCAGTATGTAGATTTGATGATACTCTAAAATGAGTATTATACCTACAAATGAATTCTTTCTAAACAATTTTCCCTAGTGTCCCATTAAAGCAAATTATTTTAACATCCAGGGAAGTTAAACGCTCCCCTCCTTTACTTACAGTGTAAATTTTATTATTTTCTCACCCTGGTTTATAAACCTCCGGAAATACTCCTATTTTTCTCTTCCATGCAACCAAAGTACGAAGTTACCACATGAGCAGTCTTGCTTGCAGTGGTGATGCCTTGAAATTTTCTTCTAATTTGTTCGTGTATACGTTTGCAAAAAGGGGTGAGAGCGGCGATCCCATGGGAAGTCCAAATTAAACTCGTCAAAGGGGTACATTTCTAGATTCGAATAGAAACAAGTCAGAAGTTCTGATAGGGCTGGAGTAAGATAAGAGGGTAAGGAGTAGATAGATGAGCTAGGACAGAAAGAGAATTGATAACACATCCGTTCAGAAGAAAGGTGGTCAAGGGATTGAATTCATCCGAATCCTTGACGAGTTGTGGCTTGGTACTTGGCAATGGCAAGACGCGTTGATGACGCCAATTACGATGCCCGCGAAACGTCTAAGAATGTGCCAAGACAACTCTTGAATGCTTGAAATTAGGAGAACTACTATAGGAGAGGACAAAGTGCATCCTACTGGGTCTCCCTGACAGCACGACCAAGTTACGAAAACGGAGCCAAACCAAAGGAGACTGCGACCAAAATCGAGGTCACAAAATATTGGCCTCCACATCTACTTTTAATGTCAAATTAAATTGATTGGGGCCGTAATGTCTACTAATATCAGCGTCGGGAAATTCCGCTACCAGTCCTTAACTCATCTTGATTGACTTAGGGTGAATGTATGCATCCTTTAGTGTAGGTTAATAATTTTATAGACTAGGTTTTCATACAAAATTCAAAAAAGCGTGTTGATTACCTAGGTTTCCTCAATTACGTGGTATTTAGTTCAATTTATTAGCATTTACTCAAGCATATATAAGAAAGGTAAAAGGCTATCCGTTAAATCATGAATAATACCTGTTTTAGCCGGCCCTCTAATTCGACAACCAAATTGTGCAAGCGTGAGACCTCAGCCTGCTGAACGAGATGGGACTCTGTCTTTTTAGTAACCTCAGTAGTCAGGTTTCGTAAGTGTAGGTTTGCCTCAGCTAGTTGGTGTAGGCAATTACGCACCGTCGGATTATCATGTTCTTCGATCCTTTCAAGGCTCTCCGTCAAGCGTCGTTGCTGGTTTTTGAAAAGCATAGGAAGAGATAAGTAATTAGCAATTATGGAGGATTTATGATATGGAATACGAATAGGGGAAGCGGAATAAACAAACTTGATAGGTGTTTTAGAAGTGACAAAATAAAACTGATCAAATTCAGTCTAATATAGGAGCTGACAAAATATAGTGAGAATAATTTTGCCTATATAGAAACAAAATCACTATACAGGTGTCAGTAAATGAAAGAGGCAGTGGATAAAGTCAACATCCGATTTGAGCTACGCCTGCAAATGTGCATAAATTAATACGATTCCAAAATAGTGTCCGGATATTTTCAGAGTATATAAATCATTATTAATCTCATTTAGATTAATAATTAATTAATAGGGCCTTGATCAATATCTTCAGCAACATAGGATAGTCATGTATAATCAAAAGCCAAATACAAATACAAATAATTTTTACAGTGCCAAGATGAGAATATAAATGAAGCAAGATATTAAAACTAGTTATCGAAATTTAAATTTTCCCATCAAAAGTGAAATTTAAAAGTGCGAAATAAGTGATGCCAAAAATGACTGATCCTCTCCGAGGTAAAAAACAAAAATATCAAAATAACTTGCATTCACCCTCCACTTGTCTGCTTGTTTTTACTAGCTGGAATACTAATACAAACCGGAAATACCACATGTAGGGTCCAATGCATGAGATAATAAACGGTTTCTAAGATAAACTTTTACTATCACGGTATTATTCTTAATGTCTACTTATTTTCTCTTCGCTTCCTACTATCCTAATGCCCTGTTTCTCTGAGCGGATCGACTAGGACCTTGAAGTATCTTAGGACTAAATCAGTTGGGTATATTGAATCTGGTTTAATAATGTATTTTCTCAATTGTTTAAGCAGTAGATTCGAAATTTAAAAATTAGTAGATGGAAAACAAAAACTAATAGCTAAGCTGATGAAAAGGTCAATGAAAGATATGTAAGCTTATTCTACGCTATAAAACATTACATCGTAAATATGTAAAAGCCCTAGACTAAAAACCTTTCTACTGAAAACTAATAAAAGTAATTTGATGCATCGAATCAATCTAGCCAAGCGCAAATCATAATCGCTGATAATATTCGTCGAGTGTGGAAATTTTCAGTTTACTACCTACAGGCGATCCCAAATTAAACTATTTTATTTAAAAACAAGTAATGTTTTACATTTTAAAAAAGTTTCTGTAGGCTCTCTTCAAAACCATCTTAGTACTATGAATTGTAAGGCTGAAGCAGATTTCCCAAGTTGTAATGAATATTCAAGGATCGATGATAGAATAAAAATTATAACAAGTGCTCATAGTGTGAGCCACAAAAACTTATTTAAAAAAGAAAGTTCATAACACCATTTTTGATTCATGTGAAAGAGTGGCTTTAAGGGATGCTAAGCCAAGAGAACATTTTGTATTTATTAATAGAAACACTAATTTAATATGCGCTCTGCGAGTGTTAAAAGCACAACAAGATTATGGATGATAATATATTTCAAGATTTATTAAGTAATTTTTTTAAATCTTGCAACAAACAAAGTATTCTCTTTTAACTGAACTTTTTTTAATAAAACACCTTTCTAAAGGAAGACTGCAATATAACTCAACGTAATAGTCATCTAGTATATGTGCTCGACTCTGGCATTATACCGTGAGGTAAAATAAGTTATATTTATATCTCCCGAATA